ATTCTCTAACAGGTCAGGTTTCTATTGAGAAACAAATGGCTTATGTGTATATTGTTTCATGAAAACCTAAAATAATATCACTCCAACTTGACACGTGAAGAAACGGAGGAAAAGAGAGGTTTATCACATTGTGCAAGATTTGAGAGAGGCCACGTCAGAGGCTGTATTTAAATCCAAGCCCCTGCTCCAGTTCTCACACCAGAAAGTGTGACATACTGCCCCCTTCCTGCCCCCTCCCTGCAATAAATCTCCTAAGTCTTTTCTGTGCTACCTGGAAAGAACCAAAGTCACATTAACTTTCCACAAAGAGCTGTGTCACCCTTTGGAGGACGTATCAAAATCTGAAGAATTAGGGTTGGAGCAGAGATTTGAGTTCTCAGTTTCTCAAAAGGAGACATGGGTTTAAAAGAAACCAAAAAGCACTTCTCTAGTCTAAGCCCTCATTGTGCAGAGAAGGAAACGGAGGCTCAGAAGAGATGAGGAAAGGGCCTTATTTACAAATCTTGCCTCAGCGCAGCACCAAGCCAGCGCTGGACACTGCTGGGGAAGGACGAGGGAGGCCCAGGAGAATGAGTGTTAGAAAAAGGAAAGAGAAGAAGCATACAAGCCCTCTCTCTACACCGACGTACCAAGCAGTTCCACCAAATTATCCAGTATGGGAGCCGCCAACATTAAGGTGGGCTAAACAGGTTATAGAAACCTGGAAGTCTCAACCACAGTGGAAGTTCCAACTTTTATATGGTTTTTCCCAGTTCAAGCATGAGCTCAGCGGGAGCTCCGTGCCAGGCACAACACAAGGCATGGAGTTGTCCCAAATACAGATCTCTATGAATACGTGTGCAAACCACATGCAGGCCCACCAGAAGAGAAACGCCCACAGGTAAGATGGAATTACTGAAAATGAAGGCAGCTAACCAGCATATATTACTAGCAAAAAGGATGTAGCTAGAAATACTCATGGACATAGCAAACTGTGGTTAGCAAGTGGGAAAGGGGGAGGGACAGTTTAGGAGTTTAGTATGATCAGATACACATTAGTATATATAAAATAAATAAATGACAAGGACCTACTGTATAGCACAGGGAACTATATTCAATTTCTTGTAATGAGTTGTACTGAAAACAATCTGAAAAATATACATGTACACATGCATATATATAACTGAATCTCTGCTGTACACCTGAAACTAACATTGTAAACTGATTACACTTTAATAAAAAATAAGAATTTTAAAAATAAATAAATAAATAAAAGAACACTGTAATCCCCTTAGCTGTAGGTGGTGGAGAAAACTGGTTACAAGCACCAAGTCCACTCGATCACTCCAGCAATGGCTGTCACTATTTTTGACCATCAGGGAGTCAATTGGCTTCACAGAGGTTACTTTTCTCTTTTGTGAAAAGCTACAGTTGCAACCAATGATATATATATAATCTCATTATTTACAGACCCAACAAATTAGTGCAGACTTTCCATAGGCCAGGCTCTGGACAGATGAAAAGAGAGGGTCCCAGATACATTTATGGGTAGAAAAAATTTATGCCACAAATACACTAATTCTTCCTGTTCTGATATATAGATTCAATGCAATTCTGATTAGAATTCCTACCAGATATTTTATGGAATGCAACAAGTTAATTTAGGGTCAGGAAAAGCCAGGAAACTTCTTTAGAACCACCACTGGGGAGGGGTGGATAGATCATTCACTTCCACTGTTCTTTCTGAAGTGATGAAGACGTTCTGGAGTAATAATGGTTGCACCATTGTGAATATGCTAAAAGCCGCTGAATTGTACCATTTAAATGGGTGGACTTCACAGTGTGTGAACAATATCGCAAAAAAGCTGTTCTACGAAAAAATATTTCTGGACCACTATTTTTCCCTCTATATTACTAGTCTGCCCCACAATTTAAGAAAAACAAGAAAACAAAACCCAACAAAAATTTGC